ATTAAATTGTCATTGTGGTAGAAATTCATCATAGACTTTGGTGAGTTTCCAACATCTGGTATCAAGAGCTTTGTTTCGATTCGAGGGAAGTGTCAATCAAGAACGATTGAAGAATTCACGATGACAAATTATGGGAATGCAAATTATCCAACAACTCTACTAATTCTAAAAGTAGACAACTATGAGAATTGGTGTAAACAGATGAAAGTCTTATTCAGGTGTCAAGGTCTTTAGGACCTTGTAAAAGATGGAGTCGAAGTGCTTGAAGAAAACGCTTCAGAAGAAGAAAAGAAGAAACGCGTAGAAATTGAGAAGCTGAGTTATAAAGTGCTTTTATAATTCATCAATGTCTGAGTCTAGAAAACTTTGAAAAAGTGAGTGATTCAGAATCTGCAAAAGAAGCTTGGGACGTTCTTGAGAAGTCATTTGGTGGTGCAGAAAAGGTAAAAGAAGTGAGGGTACAAACTCACAAGAGTACCTATGAATTGCTTCAGATGGAAGATAGTGAGAACATATCTGATTTCTTCACTAGAGTTACAAAACTAGTGAATCAAATCAAGGCATGTGGAGAAACATTAACAACAAGATCTGTTGTTTCGAAGATTTTGAGATCTTTAGCTCCTAAGTTTGACCACATAGTGGTGGCGATAGAAGAGGGAAAAGACTTGTCGAAATTGACAAAGAAAGAGCTTCAAGAGACGCTTGAATCTCATGAACAAAGAATGAACGAAAGAGCTGCAGGAAAATCGAAGAGTGATGTGGCCTTGCAGGCATATTCAGCAAAAGAGACCAAAGGCAAAGGAAAGTGTTTCGACAGAGGTAGAGGTGACTACAACAAATCAAATAGTAGAGGAAACTAGATCGAAGGAAACGTGTCGAATCAAAGAAAACTATACCAAGGAAACCAAAGAGGTGGTGTTACAAATAGAGGAAGAGGTGGTGGTCGAAAACCTGATAAGAGTCACATTCAATGTTACAATTGTCAGAAGTATGGTCACTATTCGAGTGATTGTCCAGAAAAACGAAAGAATCAAGAAAGTGATGCAAAACTTGCAAAACATGAAGAAGAAGAGATGATGCTGATGGTCACAACAAAAGATGAAGATATATTCAAGGACCAATGGTACTTAGATTCAGGATGTTTATAACATATGTCTGAAAGGAAATACCGGTTTATCAACATAAAGCCCTCAACGAAAAATATGGTAAATTTTGCAAATGACAATACCCTAGCAGCTGAAGGTATTGGTGATGTTATGATTATGAGGAAAGATGGTAAAAGGTCAGTAATCTCCAATGTGTTGTATATACCAGGCTTGAAGAGTAATTTGCTCAGTATATGGCAGTTGGTCGAAAAAAATTATAAAGTGTCAATCAAAGATAAGATGATGAGAGTTATTGATGCAAATGGGAGATTAATCTTGAAGGCTCATATGTCTCAGAATCGAACCTTCAAGATTGAACTAAATGTGATGGAGCACAAGTGCTTTTCGGCTGCAGCTAGCAGAGATGAATGGATATGGCATTATAGACTAGGCCATCTCAACTTCAGAGACATCAGAGATTTGAAGAGAAGAAGTACGGTTTCAGGATTGCCAGAAATCGACATTCCAAACGAGACATGTGAGGAATGTGTGCAGGCGAAGCAACACAAGAATAGCTTCAGCAAGGATGCGGGAAGCAGGTCGAAGGCTAATCTTGAAGTCATATGCTCTGATGTATATGGACTAGTCCAGGTGGATTCTACGGGAGGTAACAAATGCTTTGTTATATTCATAGATGATTTCAGTCGAAATCTGTGGACTTATCTGATCAAGAAGAAAAGTGAAGTGATCGAAGTATTTGCCAAGTTTAAATCTATGGTCAAAAGACAAAGTGGTCGAAAGCTCAAAGTTTTGAGAACTGATGGTGGTGGAGAATATGTGTCGAAAGACTTCGAAAGGCTATGTGAAAAGGAAGGGATTATGCATGAGGTGGTGCCACCCTATAATCCACAACAAAATGGAATTGCAGAAAGGAAGAATCGAACCATCATGAATATGGTGAGAAGTATATTGAAAGGCGAGAATTTACCTAAAGAGTTTTAGGGTGAAGCTGTTTCGACTGCAACATATATTTTGAACAAATGTCCTACAAAGAAGCTAGAAGGAATTACTCCAGAAGAATGTTGGTCTGGTGTGAAGCCTAGCTTGAGTCATCTGAAGGTATTTGGATCTATTGCACATAGACATGTGCCAAATGAAGAAAGATTGATGAAAAGTCAAGTCAAATGATTCTAGTTGGATATCATTCGACAGGAGGCTACAAGTTGTTCGATCCAGTGAAAAAGTAGATTGTGATCAGCAGGGACGTGATCATAGATGAGTTTAAAGAACGGGATTGGACTGAAAATGTCAAGAAAGATTCAGTGGGAATTCTATTTGAAGAACCAGAAACTCAAGTCAAAAGAGAAGTTCGACAAGAGGAACCAGCAGATATACCAAGTACAAGCAGAACTCAAAGAACAAGACACATGCCTGCAAGATTGCAAGATTGTGTGATTACATCAGATGCTGTGATAGATAATGAAGGTGAGCTGATACATTATGCTTTCTATGCAGATGTCAAACCTATTAATGCAGCTGAAGCATTGAAGGATTCGAAGTGGGTGAAAGCAATGAACGAAGAAGTAAATTATATCGAAGACAACAACACTTGGTCACTTGTCGAATTGCCTCGAGGTAAGAAGGAAATTAATGTCAAGTGAGTATACAAAGTGAAAACGAATTCGAAAGAGGAAGTAACTCGACACAAAGCAAGGATTGTGGCGAAAGGATTTCTACAAAAATAAGGAATAGACTTCGATGAAGTTTTTGTACCTATAGCTAGGATCCAAATAATCAGGTTGGTTGTTGGTCTAGCAGAAATAAACAGTTGGCACATATGTCAGATAGACGTGAAGTATGCATTCCTAAATGGACCCTTAGACGAAGAAGTCTATGTTAAACAACCAGTTGGGTTTGTGAAACATGACGAAGAAAGAAAGGTGTACAGGCTGCATAAAGCCCTGTATGGATTGAAACAAACTTCAAGGGCTTGAAATAAGAAAATTGATAGTTTCCTAAGGGAGAAGGAATTTGTGAAGTGCACAACTGAACATGGAGTATATGTAAGAAGAAGCAAGAGTAAATTGCTTATACTATCTCTCTATGTAGATGATTTGTTGATAACAGGTAGCTGCAAAAGTGAGATCGAAGACTTCAAATGTGATCTCAGCAAGGAATTCGAAATGTCTGATTTGGGTGAAATTTCATATTTCCTTGGAATGGAATTCTACAAGAGCAGTAGGGGTTTGATGATGCATTAAAGAAGATATGCAGGAGAAATTCTCAAGAGGTTTGAGATGGAAGAATGCAACTCAACTTCGACACCTGCAGAACCAAGACTGCAACTGTCAAAAGATGCATATGAAGATGATGTTGATCCAACCCAATACAGAAGACTTATTGGATCATTGAGATATCTTTGTCATACAAGGCCTGACTTAGCATATAATGTAGGTATGATAAGTAGATTCATGCAGAAGCCAAAGGTATCACATCTAGCAGCAGTGAAGAGGATACTAAGGTATTTCAAAGGAATTTTCGATTATGGCATTTTGTTTCCTGCAGTTGATAAAGGAAAAGAGTGCAAGTTAGTGGGATACACTGATTCGAGTTGGTGTAGTGATGCTGAAGATCGAAAGTCAACAGCAGGATATGTGTTTATGCTAGGTGGTGCACCAGTTGCTTGGAATTCAAGAAAGGAACCAGTAGTGGCATTATCATCATGCGAAGTAGAATACATAGCTTCTTCTCTTTGTGCATATCAAGCAACTTGGGTGGTGAACTTGGTCGAAGAGATAACAGGGAGAGATTATGGAGCAATTACCATGAAGATCGACAGCATGTCAGCTGTCAATCTGGCGAAGAATCCAATAGCACATGATCGAAGTAAGCACATCGAAATGAGGTTTCATTATCTTCGAGAGCAGGTAGCAGATGGGAAGATGAATTTGAAACACTGCAGAACTAAGAATCAGATTGCAGACATCATGACGAAGGGAGTGCATGTCGAAGTATTCAGAAGACTAAGAGTCATGATGAATATAGATAGTTTAGACACAATGAATTAGGTGGTGTGTTAAATTGTAATTCATATTGTCGAAAAGATTAGATTTGTTTAGATTTAAATAGATTTGATTTGATTTAATAACAAAATATATATTTTAGGTTATGGGCTTCGGGTGCAAGCTCACTTATAAATAGAGGGAGTAACCCCTATTTTTTGTAAGCAAGTCAAGCAAGTTACTCACAGTATTTTGCAGTTGCAAAGTGAATAAGAAAGTTTTCACAATTTGTGAGCAGAGAGAAATTCTGCATAAATTATTTGTCTTGTCTTCTTTTTTGTTTGTCTCATAATTAAATTGTCATTGTGGTAGAAATTCATCATAGTCTTTGGTGAGTTTCTAACAATATGCATTGATAAGTCTAATTTTAGTTTATAAAGAGTTATATCTCTCGCTTTATAAACCGGTTTTTTAAGATAAACTTAGGATCAACCCTGATTTTAATATAGTATTAGAGTTTATCTAAAATTCGTTACACCATTAACTATCAGGTTTCTGTTATCGAGTCACTAAATCCTGTGCATGAGGGAGGTGTAGATGACCTGAACATATGTCAATTGTAAGCATGGAACATCTTATGAACATTCATAATACTTCAAATATAAAATTCAAAAAGTACCTTTAATTAGGTATAATTTCACACAGATCTTTACAGAAGCCAAAACGGCTATACACAATACAGAAACATTCTTTTTCTTTTTCTTTTTTTGTACTTTTTCTCACCAAGGTTGATGAACTTAATGGAAAACCTTTCACAATACTGCAAAATCACTAACATATACAAGTATGAACTGTATGGTATACTCCAATACATAACAATGTATTGTAGTTTCTCAAAAAGAAGTGATTACCCTCAATGAGTTGAATGTGATTTTCTTCTTGCAAAGAACATAAAAACCCGCGGAAAAAATGACTTTTTCTTCTTCTTTCCGTTTTTCGCATCCGGCGATGATCCATTTTCATTGTTCGCGCGAACATAAGACTTTTGACTCGAAAAGTGATGTCCAGGAGGAATATTTCCCCTATTATTTTGTTCGAGTTTACCACTATGGCTTGTATTCTGGTTCACCACTTTTTGGCCTATTTCGCCGGCTTTTCTTCGTTGCCCGTGTTCGGCTCTCCACTTTCTTAATTCTTGTTCTGCACCTAATTTTCCTTCCCTTGCCTTCTCAGCTTTGCCCATTGCAATCTTCAAAGACTCTCTTCTAGCAGCCATTTCTTTGTTCACTTCATTCAACTTCTCCAAGGTTTTCGATTCAGTCTCCTTAGCTGTATCTATCTTAGAATTCGCGGTTGCAACTCTCACATTGGCTTCCTCCTCTGCTTCATGAGCTTGTTTGGTAAGATTATAGTACTCCTCGACCGATAGTTTAACACCATTCAATGAATCCACTTCATTTTTGTTGTTGCTTCTAGCTGATTCGCTCTCTTGCAATGTTTTAATTGCTTTTATTGCCAACCTTTCAGAAGCTCTTGCGGCTTCTATCTCCTTTTGCGCTGCAAGTAATCTACTATACACTGTACTTGCGCTCGCCTTGGCTTGTTCTGCTTCCTCCTTTACTTTCCGAAGCCCTTCGCGAGCTTCTTTAGCAAGCAAGTTTGCCTTATTAGCCTCTTCCGCCGCTTCTTTTAGTTTCTTCGGCATTTCAAGGATTGTCTCTCTGCCTTCTTTTTCCTTAATATGAACGAAACCGATTTCGGTTTTGGTTTTGTTCAGCTCGGCTTCAATAGACGCGACTGTAACAGAAGCCATTCCTTCTCTTTGCCTAATCAACGCAAGCGACAATTTTTCTTGATCGAGTTCTGATCTTAACGATGTTGCAGCCACCTTTAAGTAATTTACCTCGGAAGTAGCTTTCTCTATGTTAAGCTTTACTTCCTCAAGTTCCTTTTTCGCCGATGCAATTGCTTCTTGTATTTCGTTGTGTGATTTTTTCTCCAGTTCCGCTTTCGAGACTCCTTCTTCATCGCCGCCTTCTTGGTTTGACTTAGATTCCATATAGGCATTTAACTCGGATTTCAAATCGAGAAGCAATGTAGAAGCTTTACTAAGTTTAGATTTAAGACCCTCAGCCGACAAAATTTTCTGGTTGAATTTTTCTAATTTGTGTTCTTCTTGTTTAAGTTCCTTCTCCCAATTGAGTAAATCTTGATCTCTTGCCATGACTGTTCCTATTCTGTGTTCTTCTGCTTCCATATGCGCAGAATGTGCGGTTTCCAAAGACTCTTTTGTGGCAATCAGCTCAATTGTCAAATCTTCTACCATCTTTTCTACTTGCTTTGACGCAGCAACAGCTTCTTCGGCTCTGTTAATAGCTTCGCCTTTTTCATCAACTAAGGAAGCGTATTCCACACACAACGAATCAAGCTCATGTTTCACCGACGTAAACTCGGTAATGGCAGCCGTATACCTGGCTTTCGCTACCTCAAGCTGCGCCTTGGCTGCCACACTGGAATCTTCAGCAATACCTTGCTCCATCTCTTCCACTCTAAGCTTTGCGAGTTCCGAGTCTTGTCTTGCTTGACGCTCTTCGGTCTGCGCTCTCTCTAGGTTCAGCTTAAGCTCTTCTATTAGTCTTTTTGTGCTGTCAAGCTCCTGAAGTGCTTGGACTTTTTCTTGCTCGGCAGCCTCTGATATTTTCCTATACTCCGGAATCTCGTCGTGTGCTTTCTCAAGCTCTTGCTCTACTTTCTTGCGCCGCTGTAATCAGAGGACAATAAAGCAATCGAAATTGAGACAGCGAAAAAAATGTTTCTTCATGAAGAAGTTAAGTGTTGAGGAGATTCTTAAGCAATTGAAATTGATAAATACCTCGACTGTCACCATTCTATGAGCCTTCCAATCGACGATTCCTCCGAATTTAGAAACAGCTTCTTTAACAGATTCAAATGGAGCTGCTGTATCAATTATGCCTCTTTTTTCCTCGATTTCCTTCTCATTTGTAGGTGACTCGACTCTTCCAACAGCAACATCAGAAACCTTGATTTCATCCAGATTTACGTTTAGTTCTTCACGATCATTCTGCAACTCTATTTTTTCAGACGACAAAGCCGATAGCTCAATCTGATTATCAACGACGCTGACAGTAGAATCACCCTCCTCCGTGTTCGCTATATCTTCTAAAGATCCCGATTCAAGTTCAATCTGATTATCAACAACGCTGACAGTAGAATCACCATCTTTCTCCATGTTCACTATATCTTCTGAAGATCTCGATCCATGTTCGATCTGACTATCAACAACACTGACAATAGAATCCCTATCTCTCTCCGTGTTCACTAAATCTTCTAAAGCTCCTGATTCATGTTCAATCTGATTATCAATAACGCTGACCGTAGAATCGCCATTCTTCTCATTCACTATATCTTCTAAAGATCCTGATTCGGAATCTGTAACTATAGGTTCTTGGTGACTTTCTTCTGTTACATGAACTTCAGAAAATGAGGTTGAAACTAAATTTTCTAGAGGGGCATCAATAACTCCGTCTCGAGGTGAATCTGTTAGAATTTATTCAATAATTAAGCACATGCAAAACATGCTCAAAATATATAACTATAACTATACTTATAATTACACTTTAGCGCAAAACTCAAATAAACAAACCTATAGGTTCAATCGGCAACTCGTTTGTTCCAGAAGAGGATGTTGAGGGCTCCGTAACAAGATTATCAACGTTGCCGCTAGCGGTAGCAGTTGAACCACCATCTTGTTGTCTGTTATTTATATCTTCTAAGGCTTCAGGTTCAGAATCTTCAGCTATCGATTCTTGGTGGATTTGTTCCGTTTCTTGTGAGGTTGAAGTTGAATTATCTGTTATGAGAAGATATTCATCTTGTTTTATAGGTTGATCAATGGAAACATTTGTTGAGTTCGATTCTATTTCAGGGAAATCGGTCACTGCCGGAGAATGAGTGTCATCATGTTCTGGTATATTGTTATCACCAAGAGAGTTGATGGAAGCTTCAACGGAAGATTGATTATCGATTGGAGCTATAATATCGTCAGTATTTTCTTGAGAGGTTTCGCCTCGTGGATTTTGTTCGGCATTTCTTGAAGAGGATTCTGAGGTTGGTTTGTTTTCAACTTCCTCCATCGATTAACAAACCGAGCCCGCCTAGAAGGCAAATGAAAAAGATAATTAATATATGAAGAAATTGAAAGGCAAAATCAATAGAAGCAACATGATTTTCGAAGAATACTCCATTACTATTCAAATTTTCAAAAAAATTAAAACATATAAACAAAGTCACAAAATGAAAAATCTTTTTTTAACGAATCGAAGCAACAACGATTGAATCTAAGTGATCATGTCTGGTCAACACGGAGACAAAGTGCTACTAATAACCACTATAGAGTCAAACACAACCATGGGGTTCGAACTCGGGTTCGAACTCTGATATTAACAATCAACCTAGCAATATCGATTTTTGTTCGGTTGAATTAAGATTTGCGGATTATTCTCATCCAGTTCAAATTTCCCAAAATGAAAAAAATTAAGCCAAAATAATAGATATGAATTTCTGTAATTTAATACATGCATCATAACATAAATATTAAAAAAAAAACCAAAATTAATTTTTCTTACCTAAAATAGTTGAGACAAATTAATTAACCCTTTATGCAATCTTTCAATTCTTAACCATAATAGGTTAAACATTGACATGTTTCCTCTTGCAGGGAAATTTCTCCAGGAAGAAGAATTTACTCAAATTTCTTCTGAAAAAACTCAAAAAATTGCTAGAAATAATTAAACCAAACTCTAGCTATGATTTTTAAATATTAAACACTAATCCAAACTTTGCAAACCGGAAAAAAAAATTATGGTTATAATAATTTTTGAAAATTTTACAACATGGACATGCAAAGAGTGGATAGGGAAGGAATTGAAGGAAAAAACAGAGAATTAAAAAAGATTAAGCAAAACTTGGTGCTAAGAAAAAGATGCACAAAAGAAAAGAGAAAGAAAAAAAATGAAATAATAACAAAAGAAGGAAGAAAAAGAAACATACCTGATTAAGGAGAAACTAAAATTGATGATTGAAAGTTAGGAGAAATTAATGATCAGTGAAAATTTGGAAATTAAAATTAGAATGAATTGAAGGAGGAAAAATTATGGAACTAAATTTAGAAAAATATGAAGAAAGAGTCATGTGGACTTTACTAAGTTGTTGAATAAACAAAACAAAAATGTTGGAAATTTTGTTTTAATTTTTTAATAAGGAAAATATATTATTTTAAATGTTATATATTAATTTTTACGAGAAAATAAATGGTGTATTATTATTGTAAAATAATTTTATACCGATAATAAATCACCAACCTTGAATTTTTTTTTTTGAATAACCAGGTATTAAAAAAAAATTCGCAAATAATCACGTTTCGGAAAAAATTACGCAAATAACCATGTTTCAGATGACTCCCCAAAGGAGGAGTCATCTCACTTGGCGCCTTCACCTACATTTTTATCCTAGACGCCATTTCACTTGGCGCCTCCTCTCTCTTTTAGCCGAGTGAGATGGCGCATGCTCTTTAAAAGTGAGAGGAGGCGTCATCTCACTTGGCTCCTAGGACAAAATGTTGTTTTTATAAATAATTCATCCGTTTCTCCGTCATTTCTCACACTTTTTCGCACTGTTTTCTTATTTTTTTACTCTGTTATTTGCGTCATGACATCGCCCGTGATTTTTACTAGAGATGGTTACGTTATCTTCTCCGCCACGAAACCTGCGATGAAAATGAAATTCTGGCACATTCACTCCATGGAGCGTCTGAAGCGGGAGTTGATGCGATGGCTAGATGGAGACATTGTGGAGGGGGGGGGATTCGAAGGATCCAGCAAAGACGAACAACAACCTCACATGCGACTGAAAGACCTAATGTATGGTTGGAGGAAGTCAAAACAGACAGCGACGTAATGTTGATGATGCATGGGTCAGATGAAATTGTTTTAACAGTTGTAATTTCGTAGACGGAATATCGTGTTTTTTTTCTTAAACGCGCAATATTTATTGTAGCAAATACTGTTAACGAAAAACCCTAATGTTTACAACATAATTAAGGAAAGATTTTATGTATTACAATTTTTATGTGGTCGAGGCAGACGCCCGATTCGGACAATTTTTGCGATTGTGTCCGATCTGACGGCATAAACCACACTTTCTTTCCAGCTTGTCAAGGTCGTCCATTTCGGTTGTGATGCGCTTACTTTTGGGATGACCCTTCTTGTTCCTTCGTATTTGGTCATTGTGCCACACTATTTCGCCGTCGTATGCAGGCCAATAATCTGGTTTTGCTACAAAAGGAAAGCTGTTGTTGTAAATGTGGAGCAACATTTCAGATTTGTAAATGTGTGACAGAAGTTGTAGCGCGTCTTGATGGGTATAAGCACAAGCGGAAATGACATGAGAGCAAGGCATACGAAAGGCTTGAAACTTTCCACAATCGCACTAATGAGAAGGTAGTACAACCCTATATTCTTGTCTTGGTAGGCATTCGTTGTGGTCGATTGTCTCTTTCACAATGAAGTTGTGGTTGTGTCGGTCAAACCGTATAACCATATGAGTGTTGGCTTTGGCACTTTCTGCCTTAATGTACTTCATGCAGCTTTCACTCCATAGTTGTCCAGATTACAACACCGCATTTCACATTTCACCTCTTTTGGCAAACAACAAAGCCATCCTAAAATACGTAGATTTTACCAAAGCAGTGATCGGGAGGTTTCGTATGCCTTTGAATAACCCATTTATCGATTCAATAATATTTGTTGTCATGTGCCCCCATCTTTGGCCATTGTCGTATGACCTAGTCCATTTTTCCACCGAAATATTGTCGATCCACCTACCGGCTTCCGGATTTGACAAACGGATCTCGTTGCGGTAATATTTGAACATGGGTTGTGTCAATGCATATCTCGCATTCATAACCGCTTTCCTTAGTGTTTTGTCCTTGATCTCCCTCGTGAAATTTTGGACGATATGCCTAACGCAATAGACATGCGTAGAAGGAGGGTCATGCCAACCGTTTGTAGGATTATTGTAGGCACTTTCAATGGAGGCATGTATGTCCGAGATCAAACAGAGATCTGGTTGAGGAGCCACGTGTGTTCGCAGGTTTTTCAGAAAAAAGCTCCAAGCACCACTGGTCTCCCCCTCGACTAGGGCAAAGGCAATTGGGAAAATGTTGTTGTTTCCATCTTGTGCAACTGCCATCAGTAGCGTGCCTTTGTATTTCCCATACAACCAAGTCCCATCAATTTGTATAATTGGTTTGCATGATGCAAACCCTGTGATGCAAGGTTGAAATGCACAAAACACTCGACTGAATATTCCGTTTATGTTTAGTTGACTACCATCTTGGGCGTATGCTGACACTGTTTCCAGAATGTAAACAGTACCCAGAGAATAAGTCTTGAGTGCATTCAAGTAGCGAGGAAGTTCTTGGTATGACTCCTCCCAGTTTCCGTACACCTTTTCAATCGCCTTGGTCTTTGCTAACCACACCTTACGGTAAGACGGAGTATAGTTAAAAACCATGGTGATGCGGGAGATGATGGTTTTCACCTTCAAAGATGGGTCGTTGCTGACGAGTTGTAGGATTTCTTGACAAATGAGATCGTAATTAAGTTTTCGATGGTCCTGTGATTGGGTAGAACTGACACAAGTGTGGGTAGACATGGAACCTATGACCCAACAATCACCTCTTAATTTGTATGATGCAGTGAGCTTGAACATACAATCAGGGTAGACACACTTAATCTTGTACCTTTCTGGGTTGACACGGTCCACCTTAAAATCGACCGAGTTAAGCATGTGGAATTTTTTTATGGCTCTGATGCATTCCTCTCTGTTACGAAACGTGTCCTTCTCTTTTAAGTTTTCATCCGACTGCATATACGGATTGAAAAATAAATCAGAAGACGGTTCATCTCCACCCATGTTGAAGTTTGTCATGTGCGGAGGTGGTGTGTAGATCTCGTTTGTAGGAATACCAGGTATCCCATCGTCTTCGAAATCATCATTCACCATTTCATCAAACTCTAACTCGTCATCTTATTCTTCTTCATCAACTGCATCTACCTCTGCTTGTTCGGTCTCCAAAGGATCAACCACTTGTGTCACCTGAGGCTCTCGCAACATAATGTACAACTCAATAGAGTCGTACCCAGAATACACATGACTAGAAAACATATTCTGAAGATCCTCGTCATCTTGAACCTCAACCTTGTAAAATATTATTTGGTTGTTACCAAAAAAAACTGGATTCTGATAAAATGTTTGTGTCACCGGGCCTCGTCCAAGTTTGGCCTCCAATCGTTTTTTGAAGTACGAGAAATTGGCTTTCCCGTTTAAAAGAAATTGGATGTTGTCTGTGTCTCTAAACAAAAACCCAGAGGTGGGATAAATGTATGTCTCACCGTTGAAATGTGCATTGACGACATATTGGGGTGCAGAGGCCATTGCGTATGGTTGTTTGAAGGTTTGAAGGTTGGAATGTTTGAATTTTATGAGTTATTCGAAGGTTTGTATGTTTGATTGTTTGAAGGTTTGAAGGTTTGATTGTATGAAGGTTTGAAGGTTGGAAGGTTTGACAGATTAAGTGAATCAGTGTTTTGATAAATGTAAGACTAAATAGGTCATACTGAATTTGAATTAAGTAAGGTTGTAACCTCCAAGGCTGCCACCTAGCCTGCGCCTACTCTGTACCTACACTGTAACATGTAAGTCTCCTCCCATCACCTCCAATGGTGTTACATGCATTCAGGCATGGCTTCTCCAAGGTTGTCACCTAGCCTGCACCTACTCTGCAACCCGTGCCACCTCTTATTCTCCAATGGGGATGGCGACACCTTTCATTTTTGTACTCTTTCGCCAAGTCCAATGGCGCCTCCCTTAATGTACAATCGTGTTACATGCATGCAAAGATGCCTTCTTCAAGGCTGCCACCTAGCCTGCGCCTACTCTGCATCTACACCGTAACATGTAAGTCTCCTCCCATCACCTCCAATAGTGTTACATGCATTCAGGCATGACTTCTCCAAGGTTGTCACCTAGCCTGCTCCTACTCTGCAACCCGTGCCACCTCTTATTTGCCAAT